GGTCTTTAGTACTCCAGTGCTCCGAGGAAGTTTCAGTATGGATGGCATATTGAGTATCGATTAATCCACGAGAGTCATACTTTAGAAATATTCACCTTCATTATCTAAAGGAATTGTTGGCATAGGTGTTTGTAATCAGAATTATGACTACCAAAAGCTGTCTTCCTCATCCACTTTTATATTGCAATGATGGAAAAGTAGTCATTTATGTGACGTAGGGTTTTTTGCTTTTTGGGACTCGATGCGAGACCACTATTAGAATGCGTATTTCAAAAATATTTGGGTGAATTTCACCTTTTTTGAGCCATTTCAGTCGCATTTGGGCGATCTACCTTAGTATGCCAGAATTCATACAGTATGCTAATATTACATAACAGTGTGAAGTACTGAACGACTTCCAATCTCTATGAGATGTCCTATGGAAATATAAACAGGCTATTCCTTCAATACACAACTAGCGAATGTTGTTATTTTTCGAATTTGAATAACCATCCTGAGATTTACGCTTAAGAATGAAAGAGAATTCTTCTTCAGTCGTACTAGTTCTGCGAGTGTATCCGCTGAGTTGAATGAAATCATTGCAAGTCGGACAGACGCACAGACGGCCGTCCGACCAACCGACCGACAGATGAATAAATGATAAATGAGACCGTGAATTCGGGGGCTTTCGCTAATGATTTTCATGCGATGCATTTACGATGTCGATCTTAAGAGTAATTCTGAACCCTTTGTCCATTCAAAGGAAGAAAACTTCTTTGAAAAAAAAGAAGTTCACAAAAATGGAGAATTACGAATTTGAAAATTTTCAGAATTATTTAAGCCACTCTTGTCAACATCTAGAATGACTACAATTCTCGGTGTGCACGCATCAGTAATTCAAAAAACTGACTTTCTATGAACCTCGGCATAAATAATTGATATATTTATTTATATGACCTTATAAACTGATCTTTTTGATCTGATGCAAGGTTGGTAAAGGTCTTCGTTGTCGTTGTTGTCGTCGCTGTTGGTGTTGTTTGTCGATGGTTGACGTTTCGGCGCCCTCGCCTTCCTTAGAGCTGGATTGATCCGAGTCAACTATCCACAGTTGTTTGTTCTTCCGATATAGATCTTCATGATTCCATCGACTCGAATCCAGTGGAGCACCGACCGAATGAGGTACCCTCACTGAGCAGTGCCTCTGTCATCTTTTTAAATAGATTTTAAGCAGCTTAAATTTTTTGCTGGTATGGAGACATCCTAAGTAAAAATGTTTCGTTTTTTGAAGTGGCTGCATGTTGTGTATTGTGTTCTTGTTGTTCCTGTTTGTGTTGTTCTGTCATGTGTAGTGTGGTAGACCTACAGCCTTAATATTTTAGGAATTCCGACAACAACAAATAAGTTTCGACGCATAATTAGTTTTTTCAAGAATATTGCTGGTTAATGGCGCAAGAAATACATCATACATACCCGACATATGAAGAACACGACATCTTGTTCTATCGGTTGCGTTGAAAAAGTGATTCTTTTAGTTTTATTTCTCGATGAACTGAAGTTTTGGCGATGTAGAACAAGTCACCATCAAGCTCCGATTTGCTTCCTTTTCGAGCTCAACGATAAATTTCCTGTTTTCATTAGCTTCCTTATTGATAAACATTCAGTAGAATGTGGAATTCACTTCTTTTCTATCGAGATGATGTAAGCTTATATAGCTTATATATATTAACTTATAAAATTCAATTTCTTTACCAGTTCTTCATCCTCCACTTAGTGGGATGGGTTTTTTATAGTACGGAATTGTCACATACAAAAAGTCTCCCCACAAGAGAGTGAGTGAAGCATACATAGGAGTAAATGAAGAGCATGGAGAAATGCAGAAGACATAAAAGTAAAAAATACTGAGGACATATAGAAAAGTTTGATTTTAGAGCAAATAATACAGAGGAAATTTCGTATGAGTCGAGCCTGACTCATAACGCTAGACGAAAACACATGTAGCCCGTGGCTGCCGCCGATTATTTGGCTTACCTGCGAATGCGTTTAGAAAATTCAAGTTAATTTGAACCAATATGAGAAACATTATCTAAAGTAATGCAGGTCTTTAGGTAACCTTAACCAGTTAGAAACCTCCTTTGATTCTGAGACTAAATGTAGCGATTGCTAACGACCGTGCAACTTAGTTAGTCATAACCCGATAGTAATGGAGTTACAACTTTTCAGCTATAATCCACCTTTTCTATTCATCATTTTTCTGCCGAAATTTTTTTTTCATTCTATTTTTCTAAAGCTTACGAAGGAACAGGTTCTCTAACAAATGCGAGGAAGTATCTTTTTTTGACGGAATGATGAACAAAAATGAGAGCTTTGATCAGTATACGAGAATGCTGGTGTGCTGCTACGCCTTACCGTTTATCCCCTTAATATCTTTATTTCGGTTCGATTGGTTGTTTATTTAGTATTTTTAACAACAAAATTTTAAATTGGTTGTAAGTAAATTCCTGGATTGAAATTTTTTGCAGGTGAATTTGAGTGTGGACGAGAAGAAGCGTAGCACGAAAAAAAACGATCCAACCACATTTTCAACCCATACTGATGGGAAGTCAAAGAAACATAAATCATTGCGGGAACAACCGAAGGTAATGACCCCCGTGAGCTTCTTTTGTTTCGATCACAAACCATGAATTTTACGTATCTCGCTCATACGAGGTTCCTCAATTTCGTTGGTAGTGATGCTGAGTTTTGCTTCAAGCGTTCCTTCTGTATGACCAACGTGTCGTGAAAAAGTGAAAATAATGAACCTCGTTTCACTGTCCCAAAAGAGACGTGTTATGGCAACTTTGGGTTTTCCGAAAACGAAGAGGCCACTAAAACCTTAGTCTGTTTTAGGCAACAAGAAAATCCAGGGAGCAATTTTTTATGTCTGAGCCACTCGGTTAGGATGACTTTGTTCTATGAAGGGGGGAGTCGAAAGATTTTTATGAAACTGGAAGAGTTCGACAAAGAAACTCATATCTTTTGCAAAAGAACATTGGCTCCTTCAAAGATAAAGTTGACCATGAGAGCAAGTAAAGACCCTCGCATTGGGAACTGAGGATTAGAATAAAAACAGCGCTCTGTAAAGGTATCTGAGTTCTCATCATTTTGGGAGATAAAATCCGTCTAGACTGACTGCTTTAGAAGTTATTCCTCTGATGTTAAACTGTGGAGACTTCTAATAGAGAGTTAAAAAAAACTAATGACATTAACGTCAATCGAACGTTTTATCTTTCGAAGTTCTACACGGCACAGCACCAGTGCATGCTTACCCTCAAGACGCTTCTTCCCTCTCAAAAAAGAGAAAGCCGCAAAGCTGGAGTAGTAAGTAGTTCCAAAAACCACCATTTGTTTGATTTTCTCTACTCTGCTTGCCGGTTTCTAGAAAGATGTCGTCATTAATAACATTGATGATTAGTGCGATGGGTTTGCAAAACAACATCGTTATGACAGGGCTAGGAAGCGGTAAAGCTGGAAGTCACTACGATGCATCTGTCACCAGCAACTCTGGAAGTAATACGCTAAAAAGAGAGATAACTGGGCCTGAGGTGACTGTCACATTACGTCGATCTTACAACGCTTTGTAGAGGTACGATGAACGGAGATTGTAAGAAAAGAAGAGGAGCGGTATTGGCCGGAGTTCCAAAAGCTATGAAAGCATCCGTAGAACACCTCAGGTCTTCATGAAATGATCAAGATCGCTCTTAGGTATTTAGTCAAAACGGTTAGTGCATCCAGAAAGTCAAAGGCGACGACTCTCCATGACTTCTGCTCTTACCTCTCAACAACCTCGTTCACTTGTCTCGAGAAAAAAAGCAAGGGCACCTACAACCAGTCCCGATTTACCAGTCAAACTTTACCTGCCTGAATGCATGACTCATAGGAATTGAACGCAAAGGAGCTAGTTTTGTGTGCAAAAAGGGAATACCTTCACAACGTAAATAACTTTTATGCAGTTTGCCCATAGTCCGTCAGGTTGTTTGACTAGTTCTTAACAGAATTGGTAGAGGAGTGTCCGAAAGACAACCATCAACTAAGAAGTGTTTCAAAAAATATATCAAAGTCATGTCTCTTTTCGATCAGGAGGTAAAGCATTTTTTACACTGAATAAAGTCATGTCTTTTTTCGCTTTGTGGATATTAGTTAGATACATTTAGATGGTCCGTTCTCAAATGGCGTGTACCCCTAGCTAATAGTTCTTACATTCGTCCCGTTGTTCTGCACCTGTCACAAGGAGATATATCCCTACGGTGACTAACGTTCTTGAAGCACGATGGCGCGAAGATACTGCTAACTCTGGTTTCCTACGACTATCTCTCACTCCAATGGCATCTCTTTGATTCATTTTGATGGAAGCTGATGGGAAAATTTTCCGGAAGTTTAATGCTGGCCTATTTCGATGATAAGAGCGGTATTCGTGTGTCCCTAAAGAAAGGAAAATTTATAATATTTGAGAATCCATTTGTTATTGACATTCTGTTTACTCTTGTTGAAACTACCTTCGTCTGCTTTTCATGTGTATATTCAAAGTAGGCCTGTCCATTTAGTGCGCGGCCCAGCTGCAAAACTATGTAGGAAAAAAGCAATCCACCTTCAACGCTTGCGGTAGCATCGCAGGAGTAGTGAAGGATGAAAAAGAACATCCAGCCTTGCGTAAACATCTAAGGACTCTGTGACTCTTCGGAACATCGTATAGGATAGTGGATGACAGGCGCAGAGTGGAAAGACTGCGAACCTATTTCTTACATTTGTTCACGAACACCTTGATTGAGAAGTACACTGCTTTTCAGATCTTCCATTGAGTAACACTTTTTGGGCGACTGTAGTAAATGACAGGAACAAGCTGAGTTTCTTTTTTTGGTCCCGGCTCGAATCACTTGATTATCGGTGGTTGTCAGTTGAGTGATGATATATCATCTAACTATTACGTCATAAAACTTCTGATTTCTACTAGAGTTAACTCTTTACTGTTGTTTACTTATTTGTTTATGAATACATCTCGTCATTACGATCTTAGTGGTCATAATGTGGAGCCATTGTTCTGTAAAGTGAATTTAATGAAGGTAACTCTAACATACTATTTCTCTACTGTTCTATTAATCTCATCCATAACCTCCAACTAAATAATCAGAACGATGGATAACTTGATAAAATGATCATTCAATAGGACAGCAGTGGACAATTCTTAATTACCACTCCAAGAAGACGTTGTTATGATGTTTGTTTTAGTCGCAGTCTTTTGGTATGCTGCTCGAGGATGATCCAGTAGCACTAGTTGAAGCGCTGGAAACGATAGCCGCAGAACAGCCAATTGTTGCCCGCAGTATTCCAAAGCACGCAAAAATCACTAAATGCGAGGATCGAAGCATGCGAAATTGTCTTTTCGATCAGGAGGTAAAGCATTTTTTACACTGAATAAAGTCATGTCTTTTATCGCTTTGTGGATATTAGTTAGATACATTTAGATGGTCCGTTCTCAAATGGCATGTACCCCTAGCTAATAGTTCTTACATTCGTCCCGTTGTTCTGCACCTGTCATCTATGAAAGTTGTCGCGTTGCAGTTTGATTGGGCTGTAGCTTGAAGACAGTCTTCGCTGCTTGTTACCAAGCTGTATGCTAGTCAAACGTGGCTTTGTCTGAAATCCCGAAATCTTGCGATGCCAGCCCTTGGTATTCATCGCAGTCGCCCACTAGCACTTGTAAATTGGTATACAAGTCGCCACCTTGTGCGACGACACCGCTTTTCGCTATTGACCGGTTGGTGGTATATAACGGGCCGAATTATACACATGTTCAGAATAATAAAACTCTCCATACTTACGTCATTGATTTATTAACAACTGATAAGCGGTAGGATTCGGCTCGTTTCATCGCGTTTGAGCGGTTGATGGAATACCAGGACTCACCGCCGTCACTTCAATCGTTGTCTTCCTTAAGAAATTCGAGTTGCATGACGCAAACTTCCTTCTTTCCACCAAGGATGCCAACAGCCTGTGGCGGACATCTGAGAACACTCTAACACAGCTCTCTCGAGATTCTTAACGGAAATCACTTCGGAACTGCATTCACCATTCTAATTAGGATAAAATGATAAAGGATAAAGCTGCCGGCGTTGATCAATCCCTGAGGGATGCGCCATGGATTCGACTTCATTAAGTATCGTTTGGAGGTGATTGAATGAATATCTGGCTTTCATAATGACTCACGGAGGCCTACCGATGTATCTAGCCAGTGCCACTATTCTTCCAGACAAGTCTGGTACCAATTTGCCGACATCGGAGGGATGGAAGGCTGGGTGGGCCATGGGCGCGGGGATCGAATCCACGTGCTTGTCGCAGTGTCACCTCCAACCACTGCGCCATATGCGCCCCCTAATCAGGACAGACAATAACAAATCCTCGAATGGAGTTCATACCAACATGGGAAAGTGACAACCACCTTAGATTACGGTTTCTGGACAACTAAACTGATGAAAAGCGTACTTACATTCCCACAACATATAAAGAGCAGTTATTCTAAGTGTCTAATCTAGGAGGTTGTGTGAGACTAACAAAATCTTGACTATTTCAAAAAATTGTACGGAAGTGCCGTATAGCTTCTCATTAATGTTGAAATATATCAAAATCTAGTGAGCAAATCACTCATATCTATATCTGCCAATGTTAAACACTCTATCCACATGTGGTAGAATGAATTTTCCACATTGGTTTGGCTATTGATCAACCCGCAAACCGATCAGTTAAGTTACGCAGCGTCCTGTAGCCTATCTACCCACCACCGCGTCCACAATTTCATTTTCTGACGTCGTATCTGTTTAGAACGCTGAAACTTTAGAGCAACAGAATTATTGTCACTTTCATGTGGCTTAGATACATACTAACGATTTCAGGTGTATGACTCGATGTTGTTCGATTCTTTACGTGTATGCGATCTTCTCCAATCGCATTTAGACGATTGTATCATTTCGGTTCGAGCAAAGAGTCCAGAAAATTGTGCGGATACCTCACAGGTACAAATTATCTCACTAAGCAATGTTGTCAATGAATCTTACCTTCAAATATGAATTTCACTGGAAAATTTCATCCAAAATGTTTTTTGTAGGATGGACGGGATTCTGGACGAGGAGCGTCGTCACCGTCGTCAACAATCTCAAGCAGCCCGGGAGTGAAACGACCGTTGAAGTCGTGTATACGCGCAGATCTCTGATATTATATCTAGTAATCAATAATGTGAATCAGATAATGTCGTCAATCGTAAGTTTCTAGGCAGTTTATAGTACATTTTAAAAGGATAAAGGATGAAGGGTTTAGCGTCGATCAATCACCCAGCGGTGCATTCGTTTGTTCTCCATATATATGATCAACTCGATATCTGGTCTATACAGTAATTTTTGGTAGTTTATCGATGCATCAGATTAATGCTACTACGCAGCGAGACACGTCTGGTCTCGATTCGCCAACTCCCAGAAGGTTGGGGGAAAGGTTCGCCCTAGGCGCGAAATCAAAGTGGTAACCATATATGTGCCATACAGAAGAGCATCTCTAAGCACTGCGTTGCTTGTGCCTTCTAGTGTATTCTGTCAGCTAGAAAAAATATATCGTTTTTAAGGTTTCGGGTTTTCATCTGACCATGGCTGAATCATACGGCCGAAATCTCCACACTGCATTCAAGACATTTTCTTCTCGCAATTTCTTCTCTGCATATTCCCTTTTTGATTGGTCCATAGCGTATAATTTTGTTACCACCTATTCATGCTGCCTCTCCACTTCTACTTTATTCAGAAGAGCTTTGTGATTGTCTTCGTTTATGACTCTTTCTTACTTCATTTGTTAGCGCTTTTAGTGTTGTACATGTGTTTAAGAAAAGTAGACAAAACTCACCTTGTGAATTCTGCGATTACAGGTGTACTAGACAACGGCTTCTTTTACTTTTACAATAAACACAAGCACACTGTCGTTGTTGTTTTGCAAAAAGAAGTACCGTAGCAAACACTGCTTTCTCCGATGTAACTGGCTGAACGTGTTGTTGTAACAATCCGCTAATCACAGTGTGTTCACATAAACCTACTGAGTCAAAAACAGCAAAAGGAGAGTGACTTATCGTTTTCCAAACAGTTTAAAAGAAGTTGTTGAATTTCATGTTAACACTTGATCACACTACTCAAAATTATTTCCAAGAATTTTAAAGAGAATAATCGACAGAATGCCACAGTTTAATCATATGGTTTAGATCGGATTGCCAAAAAATTCTTATTGTGTTTGACGTCTCGGCATCTTCAGAATCGCCGTGATTCGAATCGCAAGTCGCGTACAACTAACATTTGACTAAGGATTCCGACGATACCATCGTACAGTTAGGTCGGGTCGAATCGATTCCATTACAAGACAACACGGCTGAACTAAAATCACCCAGCAAAGCCCTTCTACCTAATATTTTATATTGCATTATATAATAAATCAGGTGCGGATAGCGCAGTAGTAGTGATGCATTACAAGCATGGTGAGAGTTCTACTCCGCTGCGCGCCAATCAAGCTTCTCATCCTTCCGGGGTCGGAAAATTCGTACCGGACTTGTCTAGGAAAAAATTCCTCTGCAATCCAACTGGGAACGCTCCAGCCCGAGGACTCCAGAGAGATCTGCTTGACCAGCATTCTAAGTCATTCAAGATGAAATGGAAATCCTCAACCAGCAACCGAAGTCACACGTAAAAGCTGGAAGACCTTCGTGGAAAACGGATGCGATGAAACGAATCGAATGTGAGAAGTGCTGGGATCCGCGCGGTAGGCATGAAGAGGGGTCATACAAAAAATAAAGAAATAAGAAAAAATAAGTCGACCTGATATAGTTTATGTGGAATTATTAACGGGCAACAAGAGAACCTTGTTCATGAAAAACCCCTATTGTAACACAGACCAACTTAAGGTAAAATGTTAAGTAACTATTTGGATACTTTCTGCAACACTGAGATATTTGCAAAGCTCCGGACCGCAGGTGTCTGCTGTGGGGAACGAACGCGCTATTGTCCTTTCCTGGGAGTAACGCGTTCACCACCACACCATGCTGGTCCTTCGTTTCGCCTGCCTCTCAGCTAGTTCCACCGATCACTACCATCAGCAATCACCCATCAGCGGGATTGATCTGGGGGGCCCAAATCGGCTATGAACCCAGTTAAGCTGGGGCTGTAGTTATAATCACAAACTTAGCCTTGTTATTCATTACCTACTTTTTTTTCAAGACATACTCTGCCATTAAAAGAAAGAGTAGGCAGTAAATAAAAAGTCAGGATTATTTAGATAGTGTTTCTAGTGTTTAGAGCGTCTAAGGGTTGTTGTGAAACACTTGAAGATGGAATCTTACAGAAGATGTGGATAACATTGGTCCGCCACCGACAAACTAATGAGCTCCGGGCAATCCTAACTTTTCTTCCTCTATACAACAGACTGTTGTTTCGAATACTTGACTGTTAATATAAAGTCACATTTCATCCATCTCAAGTCCTCACCTTAGTCTTTATCAACGAGATGTTAGATTAAATCAGGAGACATCGGACAAGAGCCGTTAGTGACTGGATTCCTCGGGATGCCAAACGTACTGCAGGAAGACCACCGACCCGATGGTCAGAGTTCTTCATGAAAAGCCCAGAGAAGAAGTGTGATGCTCAAAAAGTGTTTAGGTCAAGTAGAACTCACTGGGCTACTTTTGCACCCAATAGGGAAAAATGGAAGATTTACTGGTGCCCTCTCGAGTCACTCGACGATCAACGGGACTACAGGTGATACAGGTGATTAAGCCAACACACATACGCAACATGAAGGTAAACGCTGAAACTCTTTTATGTTTACAGATAAACACTTGGTCTCCGCCATCAGAAGATGCTCGAGGTTTCCAGAGCGAAGTATGGAATGACAACAAAATTCGAGTGTATCCAACACAAAAATTAATAAATTGTAATTCCAGCTAGACGCAATTACCCGGATATGAAGAAAGAAGACATAGTATATGAAACCGAACCACAACGGTGACAGTCACGAGGAAATAAGGGGCATGGAAATTGGATTGAATTCTACACATCATGAATAGTGGGCGGTGTCATTGGATCAAACTAATCATAGACGAGTGGAAGCGATGTGGTGCACATATCCTTCATGATACGTACCAAGATGGTTGCTCTGATTCACGCAGGCCAATCAAGATTCTTATTTTTTGAGGTCGGAGAATTTCTACCAGACCTGCTTGTGAAGAACTTTTTGTGATAGATACAAGCTGGTGACAACTTGGGAATTACCTTCCACAACTATCTACAAGGATTGCACTGTGAAACGACTAGACCGACATTTAACGATATTCATAAAGACCAAAATTTCCAGATGGAGGCAACACTCACAAGCAAATTAGAAGGTTTTTAGAAATGACGCATGCGAGGAAAACGAATCGATTGGAGAAAGTGTTAGGTAACGGGAAAAAATAAATTAGTAACCAAGAGCGCTACTGAACTGAAGCAATGACTTGCGAAAACAAAGAAATGCTTCACACTTAAAAAAAATGAATGCGTCAAAATAACGAAGAAGATTTATAAGTGTTTTGCTGATATTGATTAATGATACCAATCGTGTGTAAGCTGAATATACAGCACGTGACTCGAAAACATTGCTTATTTCAGGCAAAATGATGGGGAAGGACTCTATTAAACACTGGGATAAAAAGATTTAAGCTAACAGAGTAGAATCACGTTGCCAATATATACTATAGAAACTATAATCGATCTATGATCTATAAACGAAGGAGTAGCACGGGAGAAGAACGAACAGGTAAAAGCTCTGGAAGAAAATAGCACATTTGTTTAAATCAATGAGCGCATGTCTTGATAAAACCATTTCTAAGCAATTCCTACTACTTCTGAAGCTTATAGACTAAAGAAATACATGCAAATAAGACCACTGAGAATTATTAACTCGAAAAATTCGTGCCTATTCATAATACAAACACGAAAGATTGCAGTGAGATCATCATCGAGTCCTTGAAGGTTAACAATACAACTACAAGAAAAGAAAGGAAAAAATCGTTACAACTATGACACAGTCAGAATCAAGCGATGAACTCAAGTACTTCAAATCTCTCATAGAAGCACCGAACTCGTACCGGCCATTGAAACCGGAGCCGAAAAATTTAACGAGATGATCTCTTTCTAAAATAATACGGTATTTTAAAATTAACTTTCACAATTCCGGAAAAAATCAAATTTTCCTCGTCCAAAAACTTGTAATGAGTCGTATTTAAAAATCTATCCTTCATTAAAATACATTCTAACACTTCAGTTGGCAGTAAGCTAGTATCGTACACAACAGTTCACCTTTCCTCATTTCTACTCTCTCTTTCTGTCTTCCTTTCTCTCTCTCTCTCTCATTCTTGGTGGAGATGAATCAACAATCGACTCGGTCAGTTCGACAGGGAGTCTCTACAATTGCGAAGTTTTTTCAAATACTATCGAATGAGAACTAAAGTTTTACATAAAAACAATGCAGTCAGTCTGTTACATCAGTGCCAGATAGAGCATAAAAGACAAAAACTGTCATATTCCCAACAATAAAAACGGTACGGTTACACCTCGATGCTTCCATGGTGCTCACGGCAGTTAGGGCTTGATATTCCTCGAATGCAAGAGAAACAGGACACGTAGCAATGTTCTTTCATAGTTTCTGTGGCAATCTGCCTTGTTCCTATCATACTTTACATCTAAAGCCTGACGTGAATTGATTTTAATTCATAAGATGAAAAAGCAATGGTTGTTTGGAATTTAAAGTGACATATTGTGCACATAAGAGCGCGAATGGCACGGTGGTTGGAGGCGCCACTGCGACACACACGTGGAGTCGATCCTTGCGCCCACCCATGGCCCACCAAGTCTTCCATCCCTCCGGGGTCCGCGAATTGGTGCCCGACTTGTCTGGGTAGGACAGCAACACTGTTCGATGCATCTTTAGGTCACCGCAAGTCATTGTAAGGCCAGACACGCATTCAATCATCCCCAACGATACTTAATGGAGTCGAATGCGCGGCGCACCCCTCAGGGATTGATCAGCGCCGACAGCCTTATCATTTTTACCCTTTTATTGTACCCATAGTAAATTCTATGAAGATAGAAACTATTAGAATATAAAGTTCTTTGCCAACAACATATGAGATTTGTTGTCTTACAGCAGTAAAATTCTGAATTTATAGAACTATGAAATAGTGTTAATTGCCAACTTCCTTTGTCAGCACTTCTATTTAAAATACGAAAACAATTTGGTGGGGGTAATTTCGTCTGGTAGAACGCAATGATGGTCCCTAATGCGTCTTTGATGCTTGTGGCCTTTTTTTCGGAAATTTTAATTTTAAACACTTTTAATGATAAGCTAGCACTTTCGAACGGTAACCGTAAAACGAGAAAATCTTTGTTAATCAGTTATCAGAAAACCAGCGTTGGACTCTAAGCGTTAGAAGTAACCTGAATATTTTTGTCAGACAATTCTTTTTCTTTTCCTTTCTTCCTCTTCCTTCTTTTTTCAGCTAGTATCTTTTTATCCGCGCACCACAAAACTTTTCCTATATAAAAAGTGAAACATCGTATAGCCACTATATCGAAAAAAATTGGCGTTAAAAGTCCACCGAGTGAAAGCTCACCTCAATTCTCCTCATAGTTGATCGATTTCGAGTGGTTGACGATAAACACATTAGAATCTTGCTCTTCAACGACGAAACGTAAGGATCACTGAATTCAGCTGGACAAGAATCAACAATCCACATTCATTAACTCGAAAAACGACTTAAACATAATCTTAAAGATTAACGGAGTGGGAAACACTTACAATTGACGTATTCCAGATGAAAGACTCGTATAGAAGTTCTTTATTAATCTATCCGTGAAAACGATATCTGTCTGTAAGCAAAGCAGCGGTTTTGCTGAGTTTAATGTTACCATTCCCGCAAGTAGCAAACCGTACTGCCAGCTAAAATCAAGCACCTAAGGAAGCTCTTTATGACAACGATACCTCATGACAAGCTTGTCGTTTTCAACGCCATCATTAAATCTTCTGGTCCTTTAGGCTAACATGCACATGAAACTCCATCTATATTGAGACCTAAGGCGAAAGTTGTAAAAATTTGAACCAAAGTCGTCATATTTCGTCCACGAATGCGTCATTTTCATTGAGATTAGTTGATGAAAATAAATTTATCAACGAATAAACCAATCGCAATTGCCCTCCAAGTAGTATTATAAACAATGAAAGCATTTTCTTACACATCAACTGCCGTTGTGTAGTCATCATCGCTGATTATTCCTTCCGGTGGTAGAAATGATTGCGGCGAAAGAATTCGACTGCATTTCACATGTGGTACGGTGGCCCAGCCTGTTCGTACAACAGCGAATTGTAAGTCTATACGGCAACTAGTTTATAGCGTTATCTGAAGGTAACTTACAGAAATCTCCAAGTTTTACCGACTGGTCGCATGGAATTTCTAACGGATCGCTGTAATCCAATGCCAAGTACACATTTTCGGCCGTGATATGTAAATGAATACAGTGCTGGTCGTGAAGATAAGCCTGAAATGAAAGCCTGCAGTCTACTATTACATCGTCAGTTCACACTACAAATAAACTCTTTATCAATGAACGTCAATAATCAGAAAGCATAATGGCTACCACTAGTACGGTACTTAAATCTACATTCTAAAGACTAGAAACCCAGACTATTAGCTGCCGTGGAGGTCGCCATTTCCAGTGGGGCACCCAAGTAAGTGTAAATGTATGGCAGAAGCTTCAGCTGTGTCCCAATATCCGTCTCAAAAGCGGAAAACGTCCCCGCGATCCGCAAGTGTCGGGCACATCCTGTGACGTTAACTTAAAAACATTAAGGCTCGCTGTATCGAAAATTACACGCGCATTCGTACAGATATCAGTCGAGTTAAGACTATACTGAGTCCGGAACGATTCTTTTGGAGGAGAGTCATTCGAGCATCAAATAACAAGAGTACCGCCTTACCAAACCTTCAAATCGTTTCCGACTTCTTGATGAATTTTCTAGTTCCACTTCGCTTAAATCTGCTTATTACATCAAAATACATCGCACAAACTTTCCACAATAGCGTATCATGGGGTCCATTGATCGTAATCACAAGCCGTCGCTGACTTTGCTGATCTTGAGAGGCCTGCTTTTAGTTTTCTTAGACAATATTGGCAATCGCTTAGTCTTTGTCGTCCTTGCCTACGTTTACTCTTGTCTTATCTTTCCCACTGAAATGTGACTCGTAAAAAATGGTTCTGGTGGCCAAAATTCCGCACTTTTTAATAGAGTGCGATAGTATATACCACACCTTTGAGAACAGTTCAGTTGAAAGCCTCACAAAACTAAAAACACGTTTGAACTATTCTCCAAACGTACTGTACTAAACGAAGCTGTGTCTGCTTATTGAAGAAAAACATCGAATTATCAATCAATGCCGGGGTTAACAGAAAGTCAGCCTTGGGAAGCTGTCTTGATTCAATGAATTTTAATTATAGGAAGCAAGAATGCTCTATTCAACAATTTTTTCTTTACCTTTAAAAGCAAATATGCTCTATACAACGAATTGCGACCCAATCGTAAAAGGAAGTTATCGCATGGATACAGCGAACTCCTAGATTCAATGACTCAGAGAGAGGAAGAATTCATAAGCCGGGTTTTTGTCGCGGTCCGATACTTAGAGATACCATTCCACAATAACGCAGTAAACTGAGTATAGGTAATAATTGTCCACAATGTGATACACCACACAAAAATGGTGGTGTTTCATTTCTTATGCATAAATTCATAAAAGGATAGAGGATAAAACTCTCGACGTTGATCCATCTCTGAGGGATGCGCCATACATTTACCACTTCATTAAGTATCGTTGGAGGTGAACCAGGCCTTTACAATGACTCGCGGTAGACTACCGATGTATCGAGCCAGTGCTGCTATCCTCCCAGTCAAATCTGGTACCAATTTTCCGACCTCGGAGGGATGGAGACTTGGTGAGCCACGGGCGCAGTAATCGATTCCACGTGTGTGTTTCAGGGCGCCTTCAACCACTGCGCCAACCCCCCCCCCCCCCCCCCCCCCCCCCCCCCATTGCATAAATTCATAGCATGTAATAATGATTTTTATAACATAGACTTATAGATCGGTACAATGTTTTACAAGTACAGCAGTATTAACCAAAACTAGAAGAAACTAGTTCGTGGTCATTCAAAGGCTCACCGTTTGCATGGTGGAACGAAACACTTTTAGTCAAGGTCAGACCAAAATTTATTGCTAATCAATCTTCAACACGCATTTCTCCTAATACAGTTGATTACACGCGATTTCTTAGTCATAATTCTTCACATATTCGCTGTCCAGTGTGACTACTACGACACGAAAAAGTAGGTACACTTGCAAAAACAGAAGATCACTCCTTGAAGAAAATTGGTCACACATGATGAAATCAGCTCTCTTCTCGAAATTCGTTAAAGTGAAAATTCACTTGGTACATAAAAAAACTCTAAGATATTCTTTCGCATTTGAGAGCCCTTTTTATTCCCTTTAGAGATAACTGGGTTAATGAGATGTTAGTCATAGGGTTTCGATTTCATCCCTCACAAGTTCTCTCGCGAATTCTCCTAAAAGTTCTCAAATCAGCGCATACTATCTTGTTTTTGTGCTTATCTTGTATTCAGAATTACTCGAATATGAAAATCACTCAGTAATTTCTTGGCCGTCCACCTTGGCGACATCCGATGGTATGTTTGGACAACATGAAAGCGCAAGAAAGTAAGCATATTATAAGCACAAGCATTGTAGGACGAAACATTTATTAACCCCTTACGTATGGGGCCACCCATTCGGTCCCACTAAGCATCGCGGAAGAATGACCTTCGGTAGAGTATGATGCACGAAGTTAATGATTTTATCACCATAGAAAATCGAGTTCCAATTTCACTATCCAAAAGAGATGCTTTTCTTAGAGCTCAAAATTGAATTCAAGCAAGCTAATCATTGTAACCATCACTCACCAGTGCTTGAGCGATATTGAAGGCAAATCGATGAAGATGATAAGCTAAGAAATGTACTTGATAATCATGAGACGGCATATCGATGACAGTACTGCAAAAAACATAAAAAAGAATAGACGGATTAAACAGTTGTATAATTGGAATGGAAAATTGGTCACCGATTGCAAAGTGATCTTCTGGCATCATTCAGAAAGCACGATAGAGTTCCACCATTACATGGTTCAAATAATAATGATAGCACCTGTAATTAATATCCAGCATAACATAACAAAAAGACGTCGACACTGCTAAAGGATGGTATTTCAAAACGACATGTCTAGTTTTCCAAAAAATAAAGCGATAAAAAGCTCTCGGCATTGACCAATCCTTGAGAGATAAGTCATGCATTCGACTTCACTAAGCATCGTTTGGAGGTTACTGAATACATATCTGGCCTTTACAACGACTCGTGGTGGCATACCGATGTGTCGAGCCAGTGCTACTATCCTCCCAGACAAGGTACCAATTTGTCCATCCCGTAGAGATGGAGGGCTTGATGAGCCGTGGGCGTGGGAATCAGTCCCACGTGCGTGTTGCAGTGCGCCTCAGACCACTGCGCCATATGTGTCCTTTTCCAACAAATAACGATTTCAAAGCTGTGAACTTTTTAATAATGCAATTATAACGCACTATGGTAAAAATATTGGTACTAAGAAATGCGATGTTCTTTACCCTAACGACTATTAGGCTTACAAGATAACTGAAGGGATTCGTTCAAATAACTGATAAGAACACAAAAACACATACTTGTTCGCCACAAATACCGACGCCCAACCACCTTACAAGATTAGGGTGATTCATCGATAAATGATTCAATATCTTGAACTCACGTCGCAAATGTCCTATTCCTTCTGAAAAGAGAAGAAGAAGGATGCGAGGTACTAACGCAAAATGCCAAGAATATGTCAAATGAAGACTAATCAATAATTATGTGGACAGCTTGAAATTGTCAAGTTCAATGCAATTAGTTGTGAGTTAATCCTAATCCAACAACAATGTTTACAAAGAAATAGAATTTTCAAAGGTCTTTCCACATAAATTTCTATTGCGCTTTAACGTCTGAGCACGCGGATGGCTTGTTCCATGGTGTCCAGCTACGATTATACATCAGAGAGATTAATCATTACAATGATTCTTCCTTTGTTTCACAAAACGCGCTAAGCAATGAAGCAGCTAATTTTTCTTAAGGTATACCTGGTTGTTGAAAAAGTAATGTCGGCTGCTACTTCCTTGGATTAACTCGGCCATTTACGGCCCAATCGTAGTGAACAGGAATTCCTACGTGTCGAAAAAGAATGTATAGCACATCGCCTACCCTCCATCAGTCTGATACAAGCTGATAACGAGCTCAAGCTATCTATTTGGATGGTCAGTAAGTGTTCATGTGATATGGATTGCCTCCGTTCCGGTAAAAACAATTCGTAAGGTACAAATGTCTCCCAATTCACAACCAACTATCCATAGCCTGCTGTTTCCGTAGAGATTGAATCTAACAAGATGAAATCTTGCCAACAGATGGCGGTAAGCAAACGAAACTGGTGAGAACAGTGCGAGGATCCATATGATTCACAAAGTCGAACACCAAATACCCAATAAAAAGCCCTGACTCAGTCTAGGCTTCAAAAGAAGTTCCACTATATCATCTCTTTTACTAATCATATAGTAATATTTTGAAACCGACTTTCCTTGAACCTCGGTATCACTAATAAATATGTATTCCTTCTTTGATGAGCTTACACGAGGTTGATAATGATATTTATTTTCGGCTAACGTTTCGACGTCTTCGTCTTCCTCAGCGCCAATGATCCAAGTCGATGGTCCACGCTTGCTATTCGTCTCGACGTAGCAGCTTCGCCTTCGTGTCGAGTCAGGTCTTCCCCAGTGAGCCATCTCCTCGAATGAGGCATCCTCATTCAGTGATGCCAATGAGTGATGTGATGATAATCATATAGTAGTTCAATAATTTCAACCCTTTTTCTTCATAACTAACTTGTTAATTTCACTAGCGATGGTACTACGTTTGAACGATAAAAAAGTAAAAGGATAACACTCTATGCGTCGGTCAATCTCTGGGGCACACACCATGCATTCGACTCATCATTCATTGTTAAACGTGACTAAATGCATATTTGGCCCTTAAAATGACTCGCGGTGATCTAGCGATGTATCCAGTCAGTGCTTTAATACTCCCAGACAAGTCTGGTACCAAATCATCGAGCCCGGTTGAGATGGAAGGCTTAGTGAGCATGGAGCAGGGGATCGATCTCATGGGTATTGCATGGGCGCCGCTACCCACTACATTGTACGCACCTCTTATTTTTTAACAATAGATAAAAACCCCAAAAATTCTATGCTAGGTGAGAAACATACGGCGTGAGTATTTAATGGCAAAAGTCTGTTCGGTGTCCGGCCACACAACGTGTTTGGTGGTCCACAGCGAGAACGTGGTACGTGCAACTCGTCGGCTCACTATTAAACCCTCATGTGGCACACTGCAAATATATGCATATACATATATATACATATATGTGCGTATTTATACATATGCATATATATATACATATACACATATGCACATATACATATATACATGATAGATAGATTAGATAGGTAGATAGATTAGATAGATAGATAGATTAGATAAATATATAGATTAGATAGATAGATAGATAGATTAGATTGATAGATAGATAGGTTAGATAGATAGATAGATTAGAGAGATAGATAGATTAGAGAGATAGATAGATGCCTCCCAACGGTCCATTGCCTCATCGTGGCTAGGAGATGTTCCCTGGCTGTCGGGCTGCAATGCAGCAGAGCGAATTATCACCCGGCAGGGTTTCTCAAGCTGAAGAGTTCGGCTTTTCCATCAGGAAACAGTAAGCCACTACCAGAATCCACCACCGTCCTTTTATCAAGCCAGTCGCATGGTGGCAAATCTCCATCCGATCCACAAAAGCGGCAGCTGCCTGTGGTGCTGAAGACCTGGGATAAGCTTTGGGCGGAGTGACCTCGGGATTCCAGGGAACCACAATGGCTAAGAGAGCAAAACTCCGAAAGAAACGGAGATTATGCTGGGACCCACACGACGAGTGAGGAAGAGCCAACCAAATATCCAAGCAAGTGTATAAACATATGTAAAGCAAAAATACTATGTTTTCTCCAATAGCTTGTAGATACCAGAAGAGCTTATTTTTCATAACTGCTTACGATAATGTGTCCGGCTTTAGTGTTGACAATGAAGTGATTATCGACGCGGGAAGACACCGTCCAGTACATGTATCTGTTTCACATGGCTAAACCGAAACGCTGGTTTAGTATATCAATCATTTTGCACAAGAAAACCCTCTAAAAGTCGAAAGAAAAACCGTAGAAAATCAGTAAAAGTGAAAAATAAACCCAAAAACTCGCGTTTTCTGTTAGCCTCGAAGTTCCGATTGTGTCGTAACTAGCGTCATCAGTAGGTGGATCGGATTTGGATGAGTAGTCATCGTTCGATTTTTCAGCAGCAGATTTCTGTGGTTAAAAAGAAGTTAAGTCTCTGTGAGTTCTCAAGAATAGTGATCCTTTCCTGACTATCGTTATAAAATATGGATTTTTCACACCACATAACACGTTCTAAAGCAATCGTCCATTGGAAATGAGATCTTAAAAGCTGTTAATCTACTCTCCTATTAAAGTAAAAACCATCCTGCATATTGTTCTCGTGAATGAACTTACTTGTTTAAGAACCGGAGTTGAGTTCACTGGACTTTCGCCATCCTTCGAAAACGACAGTCGGACCATGTTCACTGGATGTATCGGACATTGATCACTTATTACTAGAATCATTAACCTTTTTTGTTGTTGCCAAAATTTTAAACGGAAATGGTAAAGTCTCCTGCACAAGGTTTATGGCTAATCTAATAACTAATTTTTAGTACATCCATGACACTCAGTGAAGGGGTATGAAATCAAGGCTTCAAGAGAGAGATAGAGAGAGAGAGAGCGTGAGGGAGGGAGAGAGACAGAATTCAAGAAAATCGGCTTCCTACTACGTTATTCAAAAGAATATCGCAAAAAAAGACAAAAGAGATTAATTGCGAAGTAACTTATACTTTACTTGGACGATCAATATTAGCAAAACAGTGCAGAAGTCAATGCGCATTACTAGAGTGAACATGGTGCTTACTGCATTTATCAGTCTGTCCAAATACCGTCGTCGTTGTTCGAGATATTGAGAAACCGGGTGGAGGAGGACTGATGCCTCTTTTGATCGTATTCCATTCACGACGATCTCGAACTCGACACGCTACCATTCCAGCAGAAACAGTCAGAAACGAGGCCAGAGCTACGAGTGATAATACCATCTGAAAAAACAAATTAATCAGTACAACCACAACGATTCGCAAGACTTGGACACCGGCCAGATCAAACCACGATTACCCTTTCTGGGGCTTGCGTATCACACACTGCACCAGGAAAGGCCCTTGTTTTGCGTTTCTCTCAGCTAGTTTCCTACCTAACGCTGCCAACACCACTCACCTAGAGTCCATCAGCACATCGACTACTAAGAGTAAGAGCGTTATATTTAAAACCTTTTAAATGAAAACTTGCTTGCTTGAATGGCTTGTCCTCAATGGCTGTGTGAACCCCAGCACAATCTCAACTTCTCAGGCATTTGCTGATTAAGCCATTATGATTTTCTGGAGTCCCGAGGTCAGCCTGGCCAAAGTCTGCCTCAGGTCTTCACCACCGCGGGCAATCGCAGTCCTTTTAGATCAGAGGGAAATTTGCCACCATGCGACTTTGATACCAGGACGGTGGTGGATTCTGGTATTGGTTTGCTTTTAGCTAGACTTCTGAATGAAAATGCCGAACTCCTTCTCAGCTTGGGAGACCCTGCCAGAGAATGAATCCCCCGTTGTACATCGCAGCCTGACACCCAGGAACACCTCCCAGCCACAATGAGGTGGTAAACCGTCGGGAGGATTAAATGAAGAAGTAGGAAGAAAGCTAGGCGAAAACTTCTCACATTCTATTTTTTTCAATAATAACTTAAAGTTTTAACAAGTAGGAATTTGTTATATTTAAGGAAACCAGATTGGTACACTAAACCACATCAACCCCGAAACAAACATTTCAAGGTGAAGCCACATGATTTAGCAAATTTTAGATTCATTCGCCGCTTTTTTGAGTTTAGCACATGACTTCAATCAGCCAGATTTTTCAAAAGAACGAAATCCACGAAACAAGTCACGTTTGGGAATTGCTAGGAAACAATTATGCATGCCGTTTATTCCTTAAATTTATTTTAAATGCTCTCTCTGCTCTTGCAACTTTCTCTTTCCCTTTTTTCTTTTTTCTTTGAGAGGAAAAAGTCTGAGACACCAGAATATTTTCTTATCTTAACAAGATGTCCATACACAAAAATAAGATAAATAAAAAACATAAATCTTTAGGCATCAATCAATCCATGAGGGAAGGGCCGCGCCTTTGACTTCAAAACATCGTTAGAGGTGATGGAATGCATATCTGCCCTACAGAATGACTCACGGTAGCCTATTGATGTTCCGATGCTGCTGTCCTCCCAAAGAAGTTTGGTTCCAATTTACCAACTCTGGAGGGAGAGAATACTTGGTGAGTCTGAGGCACAGGATTGAAGCTATGTGTTTCGCAAAATATCTCTAACCACTGCGCAGCATGCCTTCAAAAATAACAAAATCAAGGAAGAGACGGGCTCACTAGCAGCATCATACACTTTCTAAAACGAGCTTCAGCATACTGAATATTTCTCACCAGACCAGTATTCCATCCATTAGGAGGTAAAAGCATTTGATACTTTTCTTCGTAGCGAATCACTTGTGTCTTAGTAGTCACACTTCGTCGATTTCGTGAATCCACCACGGTGATTTCAATACCGTAGTTACAGTGTTCATTAGGAACGTATATAACCACGGATCTATGAGTCTAAAAAACATCAATGATAGCAGAAAGAACAACAATCAAAATTTCTGAGACCTTGGAAGCCCAAAAAATTCTTATACTGGCTATAGTTTTACTGGCTAGCTTGCTTCATCTGTAAAATTCACAGAAAAAAATTGAAGTAAATGACAAGGCATGTGCACTTCGTGTTACCAAGACAAAATAACTACTCGTACATGTACATAAGACATTTTAAAGCAATACCAACATTGAAAAAATTGGTTTTGTCTTGACCGTAACACTTAATACATTTGGTTTTCTGTTAGACTAAAGTTCCTGTTTTCAACTTTACCTACTGAGATTATTTTCAAATGATTAACGAACGCTCTCAACGGTTTACCGCCTCATCGTGGTTGGGAGGCGTTCCTGAGTGTTGGACTGTGATGTATAGCGAGAGATTCATTCACTGGTAGAGTCTCCAAAGATGAGAAGGAGACCGGCGTTTTCATCAGGAAGCCTACCTAAGAGTAAACCAACACCAAGATCTACCACCATCCTGGTATGAAAGTCGCATGGTGAAAAATCTACCACTGATCCACAAAGGCTGCCTGTGGCGGTGACGACCTGGGGCAGACATTGCCCTGGCTGGCCTCGGGACTCCAGGGAACCACAATGGCTTAACTAGCAAGTCTTCGAAGAATAGCGCTTCTGCTAGGACCCACACAACCAGTGAGGATGGACCATTCAAGTATCAAATAAATAAGATTAACGAACAGCCCATGTCTTCCGTTCTGACAATTGTTAGTATTACTTTTTTAAGCCTACTTTTATCTATTTTTTTTTATATTTTTTAATTTAATTAATTTTTTATTTTTTAAGCCAAATTTCTATAGACCCTTACCGATTTACAATCGCTGTCAGTGACCACCCAAGTTAAAGAAGTTGGGCGTCATAAGTATCGTATTTGTTTCACTTATTATTTCTTCCTTTAATAATGAAGGGTAAAATCAAATGTAGGTTGCCAGCCTGCCCTATTAGAATAATTTGAATGGAAGTCAGTCCGTTCTCCGAAATTCCTGTTGAACCTCCATTCGGCGCAGCTTGTTTATGTATAGTCTCACCTTGAGGACATTAAGCAATGTCATGTTATCAAGTACTTCACTTCTTATATTTTCCTACTATGTCGAACTGTATGAAATCATGAGAAAAAACCAGGAAAGCTCACCCATGTGACGACCCGCCGCTGTCCATCTAGGAATTGGCATTGATATTGTGAAACGGTGACCAGCGGATTGATGGCAATGTCAAAGTGTACCATGCGAGGAAACGTCGTTACAACTGGTACGATAGAGTCGTGCCGCTCCACTCGTGTTCCTGGGGAAAAAAAATCACGTGTGAACCTTGTTGCTGGAATTGCTTCACTGCTGTCAGGTATGCTCCACTTTTCGCTCGGTGATTAGGGAGTCACTAATTCGATTTTCCTTCTTTTTCTGAGGGAACCCTACTGACAACCTCGAAGAAACTTCACTGCATGCCTGATTATATTGAGCTCACTAAACATTGGTTCTATCTCGAGCCCACGAGTCATCTCAGCCTATTTTCTACTCTCCGTAGTTGCCAAACTCATACATATAAATGTATATATATATATATATATTTGCGGGCCTACCATCTTCAATCATTTGAGTCGGTGATCCATAAATCCATGTCACCACCACTCGATTTCTATCTTGCTCGGTCGAATCCCATGTCCATGATATGTCGCTCACTGGTGGTGGTGCTAAAAGTACAGTATACTGGTGTATATATGATGATTACCATAACTGTTGCGTCATTTACTACAACAATGTTTGTTTTCTTTTGTCATTTACAACTTGGATTTGGTTACATATTCCAAGTTGACAAGGCTCAGATTCTCAAAGTCGTAAAACCAATACCCCCTCTGTTGTTTTACAATCAACACGAAACCCATGAACTTGATTGGCTGCACTAGTAGACAAAAGATGAGCAGCAAACCACGAACAGCCTGATGGATGTGTGAGTTTAGTGGGACAAGATTGAACTCATAGATAACTCCAGACAAATGTTCTGCAGACTGGAATAAATTGAAGAAAAAACACTCGATTATTGAGACAGAAGCTTTCATAGTTCCTTTGGCAAGCAAAATACACATTCGTCTGTTAACACTCTTGCGTAGGCTGGTTGTTTTTCCGAAGGGGGTAATGAATGCGGGAAACCTCCAAGTGAAGAAAATGCACTTGTTTAAAACAACAGTGAAAGGACGGAAAAAGAGAACCCTTGGAAAACCGTTGTGTATTTAAACGTTTGCTACTGGGTGCTATTTGGATAACCCTAGGTTTTTGGCATACCATGCTTCAAATTCAAAAATAAACAAAGACAACACGATTTTCTGAGGATCGAAGAGCTTTTCGCTGCTGAGTTCGCTAAAAAAATAAAAAATACAACAGCTTTACAATTTTAAGGCTATTAGAGTCCAGAAAATTCACATGTGAAACAATAAAAGGTGAATACAAGAAAGGTTTAAAACAAAAACTATCGATGAAGGTAAAGGAGGGCAGAGCAGAGACATCTCTTTGATTTCGAAAAAAACCAAAATCAATGTCGAGAGGCGTACCACATAGCGTCGGATCGTTAACCATTTTCAGGCAAGTAGATGTACGAAATTCATACGAAGAATATGCTGCTGTCGTTGCAGCACCAAAATGCCATAGACGTAATGTGTACGGATGATCAAACGCAAGCCGATCCAAAAGAAAACCTCGGGAACGATCCTTGAAGTCATTATCAGTGATAAAGAAAATTATGAACACACAGGCCCAGTTGCCAGTTTGACCTTGACATTTGGCAAAATAATTGATTCGTAAAGAAGAAAATAGACATTGATGGTTAGAGCTATTTTGTTTTGAGTTAATCTATGACTAACCATCACAAAATCCATACGTTGCTCGATTCCCATGTGTGAATTGTACGACAACACTAATGAACAAGAAGATGTCCGTGAATATTTAAACAGAACTCGAGCTGCTGCTAATTCATCTCTCCACATCTAAAAGAAGAACAGAGTAATAATATATCGTATCCCTAATCCACAAGCACTTAATTTTTCTTCCTTTCCTTTCTAATCGACTGATAAATCGATCGATCCATTTCACAATCATACGTAATCGATTCGTAAACAACTTTACCTCTTCGGCGATCATCATCTCTATGTAGTTACCGCCAACGAGTTGGTACTCGCTATACCATTGAGATTTCACAACATCACCAATGTATCCACTTCCATTAAATGATGCTACCCGAAATTGTATCGATGCATTTTTTACGTTTACCACACCAGAAAAATCAACGTATGAAGAATATGCCTGAAAAAGGGAGGAATACATGCGTTCAACTTTACAATCATCATTTCATCCGTTTTACTTTTCCTCTACTTTCATATAAAAAGAAAACTACGGTCTATTGGTGTTGTCTTTTCTCATGGGAATTTTTTTCCTTCTTTGAATAAAGGATAGGACCAGGTTAGATTACATTTGGCGCTTCATTTAGATATTCGCAGATTATTAGTTCGTGCTCGGAATTCCAACACAAAACGTACGAATTAACCAATTCGATTACCAGGTCAGCAATTCTAAGGGGGAAAACTCATCCAAAAACCAAACGACAATTTTGGAGAGTCATGAAATATTATAGGCACATTCGTCCTAGTTTGAAACTTTTGTACATTCATATTGATCTGATGGATCTTTTGCATTGGCATACAGAGGTTTACAGTTGAAGTTCTCGTTGAATACCCGTATGAACAAATATTTCTCTTTGGTTACCGTATCCCTCAATCAGCTACAATCTGAATACTCTTCTGTCTGGCGTGTAGTCATGTGGGAGATTTATAACGTCGAAATCATTGCGATGAAGACATCATGTTGTTATCACTTGACATGACACAACAAATCCTTGGCGTTTAACATTTGTTTGTCGAAAGCTAATCCCTCGCTTCCATCATAGTGCTTCAAGCCCATCCCGACCACTACGTCGTGGGAAATGCGAGCGCGACAGCGACCGCTTGTCCTGCTCACATGAAATAACTGGATTCATTTAATGAAGTCAAATCAGAGCGTGCGATAGACTTTCCAGCTCTTCGGATTCTTTTCGAAAACGATAAACCCATACAAGAGTGGATAACTGAATCATTTAAGTTAACTTGTTAGTTGGGACTAGGTTATTCCTTCAAAAAGTACAATACTATTTTCAAAGACAGTTTTCCTTGTTTTTTCTATAGTTTAACGTGATTAACCAACGGAGCTACCACATGGCGTCAACTTATTTTCCAATTCTTAAATACTTGTGTAGTATCAAATCCTTATGGTCCACAATTAGGAAATTCTCAAGCGACAGAGAAATAAGCACAGACCTGTGTAGGCATAAGAGCAAAACATCGAAATTATTGCCAACTGAACAGAATTGGTTTCAGATCGACCAGGTTCAATGTTAATCAAATATCAACAAAGTTTAAAAATTAAAAGCCTAAGAGCTCCGATCGAAAAAAAGTCACACTGCACTGATAATGTATTTTAAAGATAGAAGTAGTACATTAATACTTCTTTTATTTTGTTGATGTCTCCAGTACTCAAAAAATCCGCTCATCAGTTACGAATCTTATTAGGCTTCCCTACTTATTAGGTCAGTTAAAAACTAGAAAAAAACTATTTGATCACTATAGAAGTACAACTTGGAGGATTCTAGGTGTCATCGATGTAAACTTGAGGACATGAACACACCCATGCGCTGAAGACAACCGTGTCGGTGTCATGACTACTGTTGTCTCGTCGAACAGCTTCTACCCAATGTGCCATCATTCCATCAGTACTCCTATTCTGGATGTCCAACTCAATCCTCCAGAATACACTGCCATTGTTTTCGGCGCTATTCGCACAGAGTAATAACACATTGCGCACTGACGGCGAAGTCATCGACATCACCGAAGGCGCTAAAATCATCTCATCACGCTGCTCGACTCATCAATTACTTGATAGTTACCTAAAATACAACTTACCTGAATAGTTTTTCTGACTGGTGATCGCAAGGTAAGCTGTTTGGCCTCGTTTAAATGGTTCTAACTTTAATTCAGTAAATCCTGGTGATCCACAGCCTAATTTACACTGAAAATTTTCTTCATACTTTGAACTACGAGCCAGCCGTGAACGTTTTAAAAACTCGGGATGATACTCTTACCAGTGCAAAATCGCTATTGTTCATGACGTCAACGTCACGATATGTGGTTCCATCTAATGCAACAAACTCTTTTAGCGTTCCATACTGAAACGAAACACTTCTTCTTCTACTTCTAGCGGGCTTTTTTTTTCTCCACGAAACCATTTAATGACTTTTCAATCAGATTGCCAATCTCTGCGCTGCTTGGCCAACACATCTGGTACATAACGCTGTTGTGAAGAAATTATCAAATAATGCGCATAGTGGGCTGCGTTCAAAGACACCCAGAAGCTTTTTTGTGTAACCGGAATCGAAGCGTACTTAGTATGTATGGAAAACACAACTCTTAAACAATGGCCTTACAGAATGCGGACGAAATACACCAGATCGATGAATCCAGGAATCAATTGTAACGAAAGCAAGTCTGCTCATTTGGCATTTCAGAAGTCTTAGAAGAAACTAACCGTATATTAAAACATAGAAACTATAAAAATAGAACGCGTATGTTTAGAATTCGAAGTTCGTTTATGGATTTGATTCACTGACTTTCTCTAAACAAACCGCTTGACACTGTCCTTGAGTTGACAGTATGTGTGAAACTGACGTCGTTAGCCGAATTAGTGGTAATAATAGTAGTAATTTTCGCATATGTTATCTGCAAGATAAAAAATGGCAACAGTATGAACAGTATGAATAAAACAGACGTTTCTTCTTCTCGATTTTGTTCGGAAAATCGAGCGAATCTCTATAATAGAGATCGAATTTGGCTCATGATGCACTGCGGAATAGTGAATTTGTTTCCGAAAGAAAGAGCTAAATAACGGAACTCAAGGTGTGGGAACCTCTGTTATCTCGTTTCTTGAAAATCGTGCTAAAAATATGACAACCGTTTGGGAATTCTATAGATTCTTCCTCACATTCGTCATGTTCGCTTTTTCCTTCAAAACGACGACGAATAATTGAAGAACAACGGATTTGATTTTGACTATGAGGTGTGAATGATGGAGGATGACGGATTTGTAAGCAAAAGAATCACTTTGACTCATTGGTAACCGTCTATCGTCGTCAAACGTCTCGTCCACATTTCCACAAATGTTTCATTTCTTGTTGGCCTAATCGAATCAGAAGCGTTCGTAACACTGACGCCGCAAACTGAATAAACTCATTAAGTCGGCTTGTTTTTGAGCATTGACCGCAACCGATCCGAAATGCGACGCTACACAATCCTGACAATCCTAATAACCATTCACAAATCGCTTTGCTGTTTAGATGCATAGGAATCGAATTGCTTCTCTTTTACATATAATTTCGCTTCATTTCTAGGAACTGTCAAAGACCATCCCAGTTGAACCGCAATCACATAGTTTAATCGGCATATCTCATAACAGTCCGCCAATGGTTTATCGCTTCATTGTTGATGAACGGCATACTTCTATCTCATATTGCGTGCGGTATGCAGTTGGGGCAATGTATCACTTTTCAGGATCATCTGGAAAGCTGAGCGGCTGAAAAATTGCATGCGGAAGCTCAGCTAGGAGAAAACCTTAACCACAGCAAGGCTCAAGCGGCTATTAATGTCTGCTGTTCCGTCGTAAACATAGTAAAGTGCTTTGTACCTAAAGCGCGATTGTCTTCCGAGAGAGTTAAGCTGTGCTTACTGGTCAAATTTGGTGAGCGGTGGGAACGCATTGGAAACATTAACAAGATTGCAAGTGATGATCCAGATCTAGAAGACGGAAAAGAAGCACATCAGCTGAAAAACATGAGGAACAAAGTAAGAGAAGTCCCATAATATTTAAATAAACTGCAGTGTTAGCCGTTGACAAGTTCAATGACACTGTAGAGTGAAAGAGAATGATCGTAGACAAGAAGTAACACTATGAATACTTTGTAACAAAACACTAGTACGGAAAAGATGTGCATGAAAGATAAAAAAAGGAGAAGAAAAGCGATGATCAGACTAAATGAATGAGCAATGAGTGATGAACGGTTGACGAGAATTCTAACGATAGGGGAAATTTGGTGTCAGCAGATAACTATCTAAAATCTTGAGATACGATGTGGTCAGTGGAACAATTGAATTGCAATGTACTAATCAATGGCTGAAGGTAGTAACGATCAGCAGTAGAGCACAGCACACAACTAAGAGACGCTCATGCTCACCAAAAGAGTAGTACTTGCGACTGTGATCGAACAAAACGTATCAGAAGACCTTCACATCGGAACTGGTTCAAAATCACAAAATTCGCGAGTGATGTGTTGAATGACTGTGTGGTGAGACGATGGTGGTAGTGGTAGTGGGTTGTGTCGGACAAATGCCGACGGTGAAATAAATGGTTGCTACGATTAATCGTAGTCGAAGAAAATCACAAAGGAGCGAAAAAAAGGTAGTCACGGACTGTTTGAAGTGACAGTGACTCGGATAGTCACAGACTACAACATCAATAACATGGAAACTGTGAACGTCGGACACAAACAACAGCATCAAGCAAATAACGGCAATACGCTATTCTTTGGATTTGAGGATTTGAACTTAAGCAATGTGCTTCTCGTACTGTAATTAAAATGTCTATACCTTCAGATGACATCCAAGTGCAAACATTTCCTTAGTTAGTTTCACTCTTCTGAAACCATTACCGAATCGAATGGTGGCGACTGAACTGGTGCATTGGTTCAGCAACAGACTGATGATCTGTGGACTTCGCTCCTCATTCGCATGTTGTTCAAGAGTGATTCTCGTTGAGTAAGCGGTTGTCACTACATATGGATCGATGGGAGGTTATCCAGCTCCCAACTAGGATTCTTCTACGATGCCAGTGATTCCTATGACAAGCCGGCTAAATAATGTTTATTTTACAGAATTCCAGTGAAAAAAATTCAGTAATAGGTTTTTGTAGTCAAAAAAGAAGAAATTGAAAAAAATTCGAGACACCAATTTTTTAGCCTATTTTATAGGAAGTGAATTCTTCCCTACAATATAATGATTCCATCAATGTGATTCTTCTTTAATAATCTAGGAGTTTTACGTTATAGAACCATACTGAAAATTGTGCCTAAGTTAACTAGAGTCTGTTTAGGTAAAGAACCACCACAACCTCCATCATGACTACCACCATTGTCACCACCTCATATGGATCATTACCGAACACGACGAAGCGCGAACATATGGTCGTTGCATAATAAAGCAATTCATGAATCACTAATAAACATGTTTTGCACCCAAATAATCATATGAGTATGTAAAACTTTAAAAGTACTTAATATAACGATTGCAATGTAACGAAGGACAAAAGTAACGACGATGTCGGTAAGCCTAGCAAATGAGGAGGCGAGAAGCCAGTAGGCGGAGGGGCGGGCGAGTTCTCAGATGCAAAACGACCAGTCCTTAAGTGTTGTGCTCCATAAGATGTTGATAAGGCGATTGTTCCTTAAAAGTTGTTAACTTTTTACAACATTTTTTTCAATACGGATTCTTATCTGAAATAGATCTCAGTAGTTGGCATGTTTGAATAGTTTTGGTAGTAAGGTCGCTCCTACGACATTACAAATTATGACATATATAACTTCAACACGAAGGTCAGTGTAAAAAATGACTGCAATCTCAACAAAAAGTATTTAAAAAATAATAATGATGGCAATAATAGTAATAACTGTCGCACAGATATTATCCGTAGTAAAATCCTTTCACAACTTCGGATTTTCCTTACAATGTACTGTCTTATTTTGGATAGTAGGTGTTACTGAGTGTTGGCCTACTGTGTGCATCAAAGGATTGGCTTTCCAGTAAGATTTGCAACTAGGCTGAGAAGTTGGGCATTTTCCTCGATAAAGCTAACTAGTACTAAACCTGTGCAAAGGTTCACTATCATTCTGGCGAGGGCTTAGTCATTTTCTGACAAATGGTGACAACATGGAAAAGGCGTAGCACTGCTTTCGAAGGTCACGGAAAAGAATATCATTCCCTAGAAAATTAGTAGCCAAATGGAAGGTACTGTGAGGCCTGAACAATTCTTCATGGTTCGTGAAGATGGACCACTGAAGTATTTAGGTAACCTCATATTTCCCAATCAACCAGCAAGAATATGAGCAAATAATAATAGTTATGGAACAATTTTGCTAATAATCACAGCGATAAAAATGGCATAAACAATAACAATAAAAACTATTATATAAAAGAATAAAGACAGATGAGAACTGGAGCCAGTGTGAAGGTAAAAAGTGACATGCAAAGACCAAAGAACGAGCTAAAAAAAAGCGATAGTTTTAAGCTCTGAATGAATGAACGCTTAAAGCCTTCTATTTTAAATATGATTGTGCTCGCTTTACCAACTTACGGATGAGAAAGAGCAGTGAGCTGATAAATACTGAAAACCAGTTCTGAACGTTTTATTTAGTTTGTTTGCCGTGTGCTAACGAAGCATGCGAAACCATATATCAACCATGACAACTCGTCCGCAGTAAAAAACATTCTCGCTGTTGTTTCACTGTGGAGTTTTCTCTGTGTAAGCACTTAGAACGTTATCAAAAGCGATTCTATCACTTGTCGAGGAGTAAAGTTGAGCCTTTAGTTCCTAGAGAACAGAAGATCGTGAGGAATTCACAGTCTACAAGAAATGATAGGGGAGAGAACTGACAACGACAAGTCGGTCTCGACAACTCCTCCACAATGGAAGTTGCTCCCAGTGCTGAATAAATAATAAATTTTTTAGGTGAATCTGCTAAAACACGACAAGAAATGGTTTTAGCAGTTGTCGATTGGTGAAACCGAGCTATTTTTCCACATTTCTACAATTCCTGCAGTCGTAGAGGACCGTGAATAATTCACGATTCATAGAAGACAACAATGCAATCCATCTCCCGCATTTCATCATTAAGCGCAATGATTTCCGTCAATGACTGAGAGCGAACCCATTCACCAAACGGCGACGTTACGGTGGTAGCGGTGTAAATGAGTGTGTATGAGAAGAAGAATTGGCGTCTCCGTGTGTTCGGTTAAGGGCACCCGGCTCTCCTTATGTGCGTCATGGCCAGCTGGTTGTTGTAAGATGTACCCGGGATAATTAGTGTCGCAAAATCGGATATGGGAAGTGCTCTTGAGGAGGTATCATTGTTCTCTGTCCTGCCCCTTCACCTCATACCTCCTACGTCCTCCTACACACTCACATCCCATGCAAATGTCTCGCCGTCAGAAATTATTACGCGAAGCGAAAATCAGCTAAAAATCACCACACTGGTGTAGCGATTTCAAGTTAATAGAGGGTAGGAATAATTGTTTTATAGCTGATGAAAAAGCAAGAAACAGTTGCTATGTTTTCGATGTTAGTCCTTTCAAATGAATCATGAGTTCAGAAGAATGCACTGTGGATGACTGGACATCCACCTCGGCTTTCGCTGTTTGTAATTCAACTTCCACTTTGACAAAACTTCTATAAAAATTATTAGTGAAGATATCAAACCAATCATCATATATCTTTAAAACGTGGTCACTGCGTGATAGGAGACAACACGTATGGATAGCTCAGCTAATGGTTACGGTGCTTGATGAAAATGAAGCAAACGACGTGTGGCGTCGCTTAATGATTGAAGCAGCTTATGAATAACGAAGTCGGTTTCCATACTGATGTTGGTCGTGATTAATGAGCTGTCCTACATGTAAATCCAAACCGAACCAGCCAGCTGTCCGACTCCACCACATATCCAGGCTAGGCGCGTTAGCGTATTTCTCCCTTACCGTCCTCAGTTTTATTTCATTAGGATAATCGACGAAAACTTGTCCAACTTGGCGCTTTAAATCGCTAACAATGAAGTTGATGGAAACATTATAACTCCACATTCGCCGGTTTAGAACATTGTTTCGATTCCGAACAAAATTTGATCTAAAAGACCAGAAAAAAGGAGTTTATGTTGTTTTTACAAAGATATAGAATAGTATGGAAAGTATCGCAAAAAGTGTACGGATAAGTGTATGTATCCAATAGTAGAAGATTTGTTTTAATGTGAACGGAATGAAGGAGGACGTTATTTTTCTTTCCGTTAACGAGATTGAGCGTGTAAATAAATTTTTTTTAATCTGAGTACATCCCATAAGAATTGTTAGGTAATGGTGGCTGGAGTAAAAAAAATTACAAGGCACAAGAGAACTTACAACAGTGCTATTCGCTTCCTTTTTCTTCTAAAAGGACTAAAATGGAAACTTTAATGTATTAGTGTTAAGGAAAGTAATGAAATAGATATTCCTAACTTTACTTTCAACGTCCTATTCTCTGTGATTGGAGATTTTTGAGATAAAGGGAAATACCTAGTACATAAAAACTACTCACGAGAGCGTTAAAAAATGGAAAGGTAGTCTTGACACAATCGAATCGTCCCAGTGAACCCATAAAGGAGAGAAAAGTGCATGACGCGGAAGTATACCATCATTGCGAAGCATTAGAACTGAATAGCACGAAAAGAAAAGTGCCGCTAGTAGCTTAGAGCTATTCTTGTCGGCTAAATAATGTTTGAAGCGAATGGAGTTCAGTCGAATTTGCTACAGATGAGCGTAATATGACGATGATAATTGAAATGATATTCAGGAAATTAAAGTCTACCTGACAGAAGTAGATGGCTTTGATAATTACGGATGCTCTCAATGCTTAAATCAATGCCACCATGTCGAAAAAACACTCCCGTAGATGTTAAATGGAGGGGATGCAGCAGCTGGTGGGAGATGATTGCACTTTTTTCTACAAAGGTAAGTAAAAATTCTTAATTAAGGTTCACATACGAAATGTAAGAAATAACTTGGAAAAAATCTCCTTATTTAATCTTTCACACCGAAAGATAATTTACTCGAAAATTCCCGAAGAAGTAGAAGTGATTTGATGAGGATAGAATTTCATAGACTACCTAACCGAACACGGAGTATAAGTGAAGCAGCTAAGCAGCCAGTCAGCTAATGAGCCGCACATCTCCGCTGCTCGAATTCGTCAAGCTGATAAACCGGTTGGCCGTTGATAGCTATCATATCTCATCTATAAGCATGATACCGGCATGGTAACATTTAACAATAGATTCAGTCTTGAAAAATCTCTAATTTTTAAAGATGATCAGGCCATATGGCAGACGTTGAGGAAAACACAAGAGCCCACACATTGCAGAAAAGAATGAGCAGCGTTTGGGTACACCGACATCAACATATTCACTGAGTTGGAGAAATATCTACTCCGTTTGCCGAAGAACACCTTCGAAGGGAGTAGTACCAGCGTCGGAATAAAACAGCAACAAAAAGTTAATCAACGCTTCAAAACCTATCGTATACAGCACTTTGATTAAAGAAGTCTAGTAACGATATTAATAAACACGAATGACTAGATTGAGAGCTAGAAAAGACTTCGATAGCCTCTGTCATTTCCAGATTTGTCCACTCTTCTTCACAGTGGAGATGAAAAAGCGCAGCGCTTCTTCCGTGAAAACCTTAAATTGTACTATTCTTGACGACAATTTTGACCACGCTTAGTTGACCAGAAGGTTTTATCTTTGGCGTTGGTTTACTCTTAGCAGGGTTTACGAACAGAAATCTCGAGTTTTCAGCGCATGTGGTCTTTTTGAAGGAATAAACCATAAGAAGTGAATCACTGACGGAGGACTGAAGGAATAGCAGGCAATGGATATAATTCGTTACAACTACGTCGCTGATGATGTACATATCTTTTGGCGAGTAAGTTGTGCAAGGAAAAAACAACAAACAATATGACATAATGCTCCCGACATACTTATTTATTTCTTTATATTGAACATAGTTCTTATTCAGGCGTGAAGATCGACATTCATGGGCTCTGTATAATTAGATTATTATTTAACAACGTCTAAATCATACTCATTGTCACATTGCGCAATCGGCAGGTAATGATGGCTTCGATGGTCTCGTATTAGGTGAAGCAGGTCTGGTGTGACTAATTCCAAATTTTATCCATAAAACACCAACATTCATAGCGTGTGGACTAACTAATTCCAACTGATAACGAAGATCTGGAACAGCTAAAACGGCTCCGAGTTTTCTCATCTGATGATGAACCTTTATTCTGAACAGCAGTAACCAAACAGATTGATGGATTGAATATTTTTTTCCTTGTCGAAGCACTTTTAAAGTGCAAACTCTAACAATGGCCAAACGCTATTTGACAAGTTCGTTCTCAGGCGAAGAAGATCTGGAAAACAATGGATGGTGGAAATTTGAATCGCCGCCTCAAACAAAAGAATGTTAGTGCGACGAAGGCCAGTCGCGAAATGTTAATCACCTAACTGCGAGTTGTACGTCCGCGGCAGCGTCAAATTTCTCGGATCCACCTGTACAGTTCATCTAGTCGGTGTCAAATCTCTGAAGAAGTTCAAAGAAAGCCGGCATTTTAAAGATAGAGACTAATGAAAGCCTATGACGAGTTACCATTAAGCTTAACATTACTGGATTATCCGGCGTGTCTGTATAATGGTGATCGCGCCAAGAATTTCACGGCATCGGTACAATCTTCTGTGAGGTCATCGCAACCTCACCGAAATTTTTCATTAGGAAAGCCATTTTTTCACTTCTGCACAGCAACCACAATGTCCCTTCTCGTCCATTTCCTTGCATTCGTGATGGCCAGACTATTGTTCTCCACTGTATATGACTATTCTCGGAATAGAATTTTTAAAGAAGAACAACCTCTGTTGTGGATAAAAGGCAGCTTCACATAAATCACCGAAAGAATTAGGCTACACATCTAATGCGGCTCTCTGATTTATTACTGACTAAGTAAAAGCGGTGCTGTTCACTACTGCTTACGTAATTGCTGGTATGCACTGTGGTGATGAAAATACTAAAAAAAGGTTAAATATTTCTTTGTTTCGTTAAAAACAACAATTTCCAGATATAACAATGAATTCCGCGCTAAATTTGTAGTGGTGGTGTAATGTACGAAGTAAAGAGGAAACCATTTGCGGTGACGATTTTGCAGTAAGACTTTAGAGACAACTCATCAAGCTTTCTAAGCCACTTTGACTCAGTGCTAACCTTCCTAGAGAAAAGGGAAGATGAAGTTGAACAATTCCGGATAGCACGTCATCAACTTCCGCAACTTATACCGATATTCTTACATGAAGCTGATATCCAGTTCACTGCAGCATTACGTGACATTTCACCACTAGTCAGGTACCACTAGCGTAAGTAAAACCACTCACGAAGTAATTAAATCCAGAGCACAGAGTTCTACTATGAGCATGGAAAAAAATATTTAACGGATCTGAATTTCATTCTCTTGCACTGAGAAATTGGCTTCTGAAATTCGTCGAAAAACCTTTATCTTTCGTTTACCCTTCTTCCAGTTATCCAGGCTGAACCGAAACTTGCCGCTTAATTAATGCAGTAAACACTTATTATTGATCGCTTAATTAAAAATGATCCCAAATGGTCGTCAAGCCATATGCTGGATGGTTATTTGCGCCTCCGGCACAAGGTCATAAGCTCTTGAAACATCAGGGCGACCATTAACATCGCATAATCGTCGAGGAAATTCATTATGCAATTTTATTGGTTCTCTCAAGAACTTTCTCAACCGCATGACGGTAATCTACAGGAAAACAGGATTACGGCGGCGATCGACAAGCATGACCAGGAAAAAACGACGATATGAAAACAAATTTTATAATTTTCAAATGAATATGCACATATTCTTTTATAAAAGGGTTTGTTCATCTGGCATGGTGAAGCTTCAACGAAGAGAAGCACAAAACTCCGTAAAATGATAGAATTTTCTCTTGAGACACGTTCACTGTCAAGAAGGAAATAAAAAGAAATAAAAGAAAAAGATCGAAACGAGAAATGTTAGAAATCTTTAAAAGAGTTAGCTCACTGTAGGCTGATTGGAGGAGCTTCTGGAGCAGTGGTAAATGGCCCGCAATATACCCCAGAGTGGTCGCTGGTTCGATCCAACGCCGCGGGCTCGCCAAGCCGTCCATCCTTCCGGGTTTGGCAAATTCTTACCAAACTTGTCTGGCTGTATGAAAACACTGACTTCATGAATTGGTAGGCTACCGCAATTCATTGTTTGGGCCAAATATCTGTTCAGTCACTTCTACGTTGACACGAATCATGTCGAATCCATCGAGAACACTTCAAGGCTTGATCAATGCCGAATGATTTATTTTTTATTATTTACTGTGGAATAGCTAGGAATTTGTTATACCAACTTTACAGCGCTTTAAAAAAGAAAGACAACTGGTTTAGCACTCACAATATCTTGTGCAGCAATGAGATAAACTTTCGAACACTCCTCACATCGATCACTCTTTCTTTGGCCTGTAAAAAAGGATAAAGGGATAAAGCTCCCGACGTTGATCAACTCCTGAGAGATGGGCTATGCATTCGACTTCATTTAGTATAGCTGGAGGTGATTGAATGCATATCTGGCCCTTACAATGGCTCGCAGTGACCTACCGAGCCAGCGCTGATATCCTTTCAAACGAGTCTAGTACCAATTTTCCGACCCTAGAGAGATAGAAGTGTTGGCGGACCATGGACGTGGGGATCGATTCCACGTGTGTATTGCAGGGCGCCTCCGGCCGCTGCGCCACACGCTCCTGTAAAATCTGATTGAGCAAGCTAAAATAAGAGAGAACAGATTGCCAGTTGGTGGTGTCAACACCATTAAATTTCTACTTTAAACTGTGGACATCATGAAATCTTGAATGAACTGACGCCAGAGAAATTATTCGGATTGTTACGACGTCATTAACAACTCTATTCATATCAGGAGAAGAGAGGGCGCGAAACACGGAAGGAAATTGTGAAGTCGAAACCTTAGCGTGTACGACTTGTCGCGTATGTTTTCCATTCTTTTTAATATGAGACTGGTTGGTTAGTGAGGAGAAACTGTTGTGGCTCGATGAAAGAGTTCCTCAGACAGTGTTTCGCTATCGGCAAACATCCCTTGGTGTTTTTCCGGAAGCTTGGTTTCGTTTATTTGTAGTCCTCGGCTCATATAAGCTACAAAAGAAAGACTCTTGTAAAGTACGCACTGGTGTTGAAGCATTTTTAAAATTAGAAAGCGAAGAAACGACTGAAAAAAAAACTGGCCCAAAACTCATTTTCATTTAATCTCTACCTAGATAAGCAACATCTTGATTTATTGGTAAGTGCTTGTGTGTAGCACAGCGGTTGGAGGTATCCTGTCGTTCAAAAAGGAACTGTTGTTGATTTGAGTCTGCACCACGTGTTCACTAAGATTCCTATACTTTCTGCAAGGAAAAATTTATGCCATACCTACCTGGTAAGATAAAAGATACAGCAGGGATAGGTTTGTGTCAAACGCTCTATCTTTAGTCCATTATTTATTGATAACTCCATAGAAGTTTCTTACAGAAAACTTCCTTATCTAAAACTTCAGCACCGTACCCATCTTTAGCACAGCAATGATTCTGAGAGACGTCAAAATGAAAGAGAATACATTGGCAACAATCTGACCGTATGAAACCACTTGGACAAGACAGCAATGGTAGCTTCGTTTACCATCTGAATACCGTAGAACTAAATGGTAATATCCTAGTATTAGATGCCATATAGCATGCCCACTGTCTGGTGAAGCCATTTCATTCCTGCCGTGCTCTACTCTATTGTAATAGAGTCCATCGATCCAGAAAGACCCACAATACAAGAACTAACCACCGTAGGCACTGGTCTATTGTCATCACTGTTCTGAAGAGGGTAGTGGTGAGGCGAGGCTCCCTACAACAAAGATTTATAACATGATTTCGGTTACGACGTCAAGCACGGAAAGATGTAGCGTATGATGAGATACAACCAGTTCAACTGTGCTTTCCGGTTCTGTTTTCAATTAGGTTCTATCGAAAGTTTCCTTTCGCCTAGCCTTCATCGACCACGTACATTTTCGTAAATTAAGCACCTCAATTCAGAGAAAGGGCAGAACTTTCTGTTTTGTCCTGGTTCCCTTCTTACCTGTTTATTTCCTATTCACAACGATAGGAATGATTCTGAGTGTAAAACTATGATGTGAACTAGGTCGCTCATTTTTCTGCAGATTCGTCCAAATTGAGAAGATCTTCAAAGCTTCCGTTCCGAAGTTTAGATAAGGACGAGTTTATTGAAGGAATGTCCACGAATTGGACGACTCTTAGTCAAAAGGTTGGCGATCCCCCATTCGAATAACTTGCTTCGGGGACCACTTATGTTAGATTGCTGAAGAGCTCAAAAATCTTGACATGGCTACTGCGGAACCTCAACAGCAAAGGAACAACAATGTCCTCGACTTCATCAAGCAACGTTAGAGGTGATTGAACGTATATCTGGTCTCTCACAATGAATTGTAGTAGCATACTGTTGCGCTGATTCAGTGCTGCTATCATCCTAGACAGTTCTGATACTATTTTGCCGATCTTGGATGAATGGAAATCTTGGTGAGCTCGGATGCGTGATCGAACCAAGGACCGCGTGCGTATTGTAGAGCACTTCTGACCACTGCACTACACCACCATATCATGCATGAAACGAAGAAAACAACAAAATAATTGTTTTCGGCGACCTTTGTGGAGCAAACGGTTAAACAATAATAGTCCGTTTTCGGTCTCGTCTCAGTCGACTCAATCACCTCGGCCTAATAATCATCTCGATTGGTCAGTGGTTACTATCGTCAAACTAAAGTGGAAAAAGAAACCACAAAAATATCTCGATTGGCTTCAGATTAAGCTCAAATTATTCAATTATTACATTACTATTTCGCTATTGAAATAATATTTTAATAACTGTTAGACTTTTCGCTCCTTCGATTGCAATGAAATTGCGCCCTACTGATTTGTGCACGATATTACGCGATAGTTACTTTCTATTACTTATCTAATAAGGCGCGTGTAGAGCAGATTTCGTAATCGCCCTGATACACATGGGGTCGACTCCCTCGCCTAAAGCTCACCAAACCTTCCATCCTTACGGAGTCGGCAAATTGGTACCAGACTTCGCTGGAGGATAGCAGCACTGGCTCGATATATCGGTAGGCCACTGCAACTTAAAGCAATAAAAAAGAATAAACGATAAAGTTGTGGGCGTTGACCAATCCCTGAAGAATGTGCTATGCATTCGACCTCATTAACTATCGTTTAGAGGTGGCTGAATGCCTATCTGGCCTAAGGGCGTGTGGCGCAATGGTCAGAGGACAACTGAACAACTATTTACTAACTTTTTTTCAAAGCTCTATAACGTTAAATATGAGGAGCGCAGTTGTAGTGACGCCTTCGCGAGCACGGTGCTGGTTCAGCTATACTTCGTGCTGACCATCCCTCCGAGGTTGGTGAAATGGGGCCAGGCTTATGTGAGGAAGCTCACTGTTGGCGTTCCAAGTAGGAAAGCTCTAGTTTGAATATCTCGATAGTCTTGCACGGAAACGGTCAAAACAACAATCAACGACATTCATAAAAAAGAAAAATCTTCAAACAGCAGCTAAACCCACGGGAAGAAAATTTGAAGACCTTCATTGCACCAACCATGCACGGATACAAATTTAATGCAAGTGCTTGGACACGCACAGCATACGCGATAGGCGGATCCCTTAAAAAAACTCGAAAATCATTGACTAAGAATAGATTTATAGTTTGTAAAAATGCTATTCTAGTTTAATTTATAAAGCCACTTTCTCATTCGAACATATCCACTTAAAGTCAGAGGTTAAGAATCACTATCAAAAATCATTTGTTAGACAAGTAAATGATGCCAACTGAGTGTTACGAGAAAGAAATCATGGCATTCGGACCTCTACAGACTTGTACATAGGAAAAGCCCAAGAATTTTAGACACGGCTTTTTTACAAATGTGGGAACCATTGTTTGGTAGTTGACTTAAAACTGGAGAAGTTCGCTAGGGACGCAGTATGCTGAAAAATTTTGACACTTCACTATAGTGGAGCAGAATTAATGCAGATCGACTCGATGGGTAATGAACACTGGAAACATTACTCATATGCAACATTGCGGATATCTTGAAAGGCTTGATGGAATGAGTTCGTAAGCAAAATTGAAAGAGCATACCAACATGAGAATTAATGACTAATTGCTGAATGCCGTCGATTCAAGCGAGCAGAATGACCAGGCGCTATGTGGATTGCGAGTACTGACAACAGAATTGCTGCTATTTGAAGAAGTATCTCCTGCAGTGCTAGGAGATTTCACTTGAAAATGAGCTCAAGCAATAATAACCGCACAAGAAGCAGCAACAACTGCAAATGAATTTCTCCAGAGAGCTTAGTACTTCAGTCACTTTTCGGTTTTAAAACTCGAACAAAAATGCTCTTTTAAATTTAAATTCTCTCATCTTCACAATGACCGCTAACTTTCTCATAATTTCTCTTTTACTAGAGCTTTGGCTTTTGGAAAAGTTTTCCTGCACCACCCGTTGCGACTTAAAAGAATGTTTGTCATTTCGTGGATAAATTATTACAGGCCGGCTAGCTGGCCTTGCACTTGGCCTTATGTTAGAAACAATTGAACACACAGTAGCAATGGAGATGTTGCGGACACTAATGGGACACAGCGAATCTGAACTCAGCCAACCAAATGTGCTTTTTTTAAAGTCTCCGCATTGCTTTAGTTTTTCTGGACAACCTTTTTTACGAAATATTTCACAAGGATTTATGCTGGTGCCATACTTCCAATACAATACAATATCATGATTTGACGACTTCCAAGAGCTCTGTCTCACCGTTAGTCTTATTTTAAGCACCCAGGGAAAAAGTGAAGTGTTTGTTGAATCTCTTCGCTCTTTCCCGGAACCCTTCGGTTTGATTATGTGTTCCTCTTTTTCCCGCTTTTGGAAAATTTACAGTCCTGTATTGTACGTGTTTGTTGAAATTTACAATTTATGCCTGTTGATCACTTAAGGTCTAGCAACGGTTTACGGCCTCAACGCGCCTGGGAGGTGTTCCTGATGTGATGAGGTGTTGCACTGCGATGTGCAATGGAGGATTCATCTCCTGGCAGAGTCTCCCAAGCTGAGAAGTCCGGCGTTTCCATTAGGAAGCCTAGCTAAGAGTAAAGGAATACCAGGATCCACCACCGTCCTGGTATCAAAGTCGCATGGTGGTAAATGTCCCTCTGATCCACAAGGGCTGCGACTGCCTTGGTGGTGAAGACTTGGTGCAGACTTTGGCCAGGCTGACCTCGGGATTCCAGAGAACCACAATGGCTTAACCAGCTAATCTCCGAAAAGTGGAGATTTTTTTGGAGCCCACACAACCAATGGGGACGGGCCATTCAACTATCAAATAAGTATGATCACTTGAGGGTCTGGTACTACTCCGGACATGCTTTGGACATTTCAGAAAAGAGGGCAAAGAAAGTGTTCTCGTTTGATTCGAATCCGATCAACCAGTATTTTTTCATTTACTTGCTTGTCCTTAATTCAATACTCCATTTCCTTGTTTTCTTTCCGCTTTTTTTCTGAAAGCTCCAAAGAAATATTCCCACTTGTAAAATGTCAGTTAGATCATGGTTAATCTTATTTCGTTTTCGTTTTTTTAGCGAGCCACCGCAAAATTGAAAAACGTGGGAGACGATGGCCCGACAAGGACTCTAAGCCTGATTTGTCTTCACAACAAGCAGCCGCTTTTCATTGTATAGAGGTGATCACGATGAATAGGATGGTTCTCAGGTAAGTAACCTAATTTCTTAAGTTCCAAGTTGTTTCGTGCTATTTTGAATGATTTTAGTGCAGTACCTTCAATTTTTCTTTAGATAACCCTCTGCAAACATCAACGAGTTAGTTGGGTTCCTCGCGTTGAAATTTGGTTATAATATTCCATAGATTACGTTGAGAATGCATGGGCACCTTATGCAATATGGCAAGGCAGTTATTCTGTTAGCAGTTCTTCGAGCCGTTTCCTTGACCTCACCCTCAAGTCCACAGCTGAACATAACAGAAACGTTCATCAAGCTCTCCGGCGATGCCGATGAAGACACTGCACATAATGCTATATTCGCTATGGGTGTGGTGGGTCATGTATTCGTAGTTACTTCCTTATCGATTCTTTGCCCAATTGATGGATGCCTCACTTGGCTGGCATTCAGAATGGTCAGCCATACTACTACACCTTAAAACAATAGTATATGTGCATATGTAAATGTAATTTTAGTAATATCTCAATTTTTGCATTTCTCTAGCTAGGCTTAGCACTTAAGGTTGGAGCTGGACCTAACAACGCTAGTCTACTTGTCATGCCACGATGGTTGGTCACCTATCACCATGAAGATCAAGTAGCTCCTCTTAAGAGATTTCTGCAAGAAGGATCAGCATATGTTTAACTTTCTCACTGAATCTTTATTTTTTGTCAGTGTAATCTTTATACTAATTCGAAAGAGCGCGTGTGGTGCAGTGGTCGGAGGCGCCCTGCAACACACGTGGAATCGATCCCCGCGTCCTTGGCCCACCAAGCTCTCCATCCCTCTGAGGTAGGCAAATTGGTACCAAACTTGTCTAGGAGGATAGCAGCACTGGCTCGATACATCGGTAGGCCACGGCGTGTCATTGTAAAGGCCAGATATGCATTCAATCACCTCCAACGATACTTAATGAAATCGAATGCATGGCGCACCCTCAGGGATTGATCAATACCGAGAGCTTTATCCTTTATCCTTTGTCTTTTATATTAATCCGATAACTTACCCAACGCAAGTGTTGTGTCAGGTATTGACTATAGAAAGCCCTCAGTATGCCAAGTGTATTCTAGAAACTTTTTCCAGAACATTATTAATGACTTGTTGATCCAATGGCGAGTGTACTGTCGAAATCATTGTTGGGGAGAAAACCACAAATATAGCAAAAGTATGCCAAAACTGATAAGTTAACCAAAATGTTTGGCCAGCCCGTGACATCCTTGAGTATTGAGATTATTAGCCTCTAGTATGGACCTACCCAAAAATTGCTTTTGATTAGAAAGCTGAGTGATATTTTGTCCTTAGAGGCACATGTGACTAAGTAGGTTGCATGTTAGTCATACACCTCGTGGGGAGAACTGAAGGCTCGTCCTACACGGCTGTCACACAGAATCGGTTGTTGTCACAAATGTGATAAAGCTGTCTCCATTAGCTATAGAACTCACTTATTTGAATGAGGCTTAGTCTTATGAGTGTCAGTACGATTGGCTGAACGGCTTATCCATTATGGGAAAGGAGGAATGGAGCTAAATCGGCGACATTCTGGTCACCAGTTACTCACTCGGGGTGCTGTTGCAGTTCTGATCACTATTTGCTTCCTATTTTTGGATACGATTAATTCAGTATTTCTAAAATTTTCCTTAGTGTTTCCACATCGTCACGGAAATTTCAGCCTCCTTATTCTAGGTGCTGAATAATCGCCAATATCATTTGCAGTACTTCTTGCGCCAGCTATGCAATCTCCTGTACTTGCTACGTAATGTGATAACGAGAAAAAGCCTGGTCTTCTTAAACAAGTATCCTGAATAATTTAATTCTCAGTATGTATTCTTTTTTTGATGAGCTTACACGAGGTTGAAAATGATATTTATTTTCGGCTAACGTTTCGACGTCTTCGTCTTCCTCAGAGCAATTCTCAGTGTTTTGGCTTTTTTTTTCTTTTACGGACTATCTATTCGTCATACTTCTCACATTCCAGATTGCTGTTACAGTAAGAATTGGGCAAATGATGGACATCGTGGTACCAGTTGGTAAGCAAGAACGATCACTGAACTGCAGGTGCTCACTCCCGCCACCGTACTACCGTTCGGTGAAAGTTCTGAATTAACTTACGAAGATTGTTAGTTCATGCTTCTGTTTTTATGTATATCAGTTTTTTTTCTAGTAGTAAATCGAAAAGTTTTTTAGAAGGTCAAATACGGTACTGTTCAGGTAATGTTCAAACATTGCAATGACTCCTTATTTGGATGACTTATTGATACTGGAAAAATGCTTATTACGATGTGCCGGTGGCTGTCAAAAAATAGGATTTTCATACTGTTTGCTTGATTCTTGATGAATATATATGTAAGACCGGTGTACTGATAAAGTTTTGCATCGGTCTTCCCGAGTGCGATGTATGTGGTGGCGATAGCAGTAATTGTAATATAGCGATAAATAGTTATTTGTCAGAGTTATTAGCTCTAATAGACCGATCGATCTGTTTGACTGTCTCCCGCCAAACTTTTCGTATGTTGTCACAGAACACAATTTCAAGCCTACGTTATAACGCTTGTAGAAAAAAGTAGCAGTACAATGTTAACGGTGTGACGATATACGGAATGGTGAAGAATTCAAGAGCTAATACCAAGAAGGAGTTTGGAAGAACCTTGGTACTGGAAGAGAGGGCTGTGGAAAAAATTAAATGACGTTAGCCGACGAATCTGCTTATCTACGTACTATAATAGGTGGAGCTCAGGTAGATTAGTTGAAGAGATACTTTGAACAGGATTTGATAGAACTTTGCCCTTCGTAGAGTACGTATTGCAAGACATATGCATGTTCAGTTGAGAAGATTACTGCAAGGATAAATCTTATTACTACTAAATATGGTTACACTACAAAGCAACTATAATATAGGAAGTAGAATCTATTCGAGAGATAGTTACTAAAGTGTTTCATCAGCTGAGCCAACCTTAATGCACGTTAACCCATTCCACACCGTAAGGGCACTCTAGTACCAATATTGAGTTTGCTGGGTCCTCGAGTATTCTTTTTCAAAGAACTGCGTATACCCTCTCGTTAGCTAGCCGAAATCAGATTAGGATAGTAAAAGTGAGACCAGGAAAACCATTCGCTAGACTTAGTGCTTTGCAAAGGAACATCGCGCTCAATGAGTTCATTTTGTGCCGATACACAGTAAATTACGATACTTTGAAAAACATACTGTATACAAATGCGCTGCAAAAAAATATGCCATTTAGGAAACATTATACTTATTATTTAAGCGATAAATATGTGGTTGGTTTCAACACAATTATTGACTTGGGAGTGCTGCACATCAACAAAGTAGTCGGTCACCGGTGTTATTTATAGTGTGGCATCTGTAGAAGCAATTCTCAGGCTCTCATAATTGTTCACTGACGTTTTTAAAGATAATGCTCAAAACCACTTGTGTAATCATCTGAGGAGCCGAAAATTTTTCAAGCTACTCTTTCACGAAGATCTGGTTGGGCCAAGCTAGACCGACTAAATACCATAACGTTGGTATGCGAAGAAATCCCAGGTTAATCATTTAAAATCGGGTGTTTTTTGCTTTAGCTAACCACCGTCTAGTTTATTCATCAATTTTGGCTGTTAAATGGGTGAATAGTGTTGAGGTATTCGCTAAACTCTCCCATCCCTCAAAGATGTGCGGAAATTAGAACTTCATTGAACACTTGGAGCGTCCTATCCTCATTAGCATATGTAGATAATTGCTTATCGGAAGTAATTTTGCTTGAATCACGAGATAATACTACTGAAGTCCTTCCAGCTAAGCTTCACAGGTATTAGAAGGCACCTGTAAATCGGTCTCCTTCCAGGGAAACACTAGAGTGATTCGACGCATTAATCTGCATATGCACTGTCATATTCACTGGAGCATAAAAGAATATAATAACTAACATAATAGAATAGACACTGGCGTTCCGGAGTTTTGCAAATATCTCACCATCATTGGGTTGAACAAAACATTTACCTAATTGTTAAGCATAAAGCGGAAGACTTTACTCTGTCACTTCATATCATCGCAAAAAATTTAAATGCAATCGCTTCCAATGGGGAATGTTGTTTAATCTAACAGTGCCCAACCTCAATGTGCAACTTATGTCCATTGGGAAACATAAGGGAGAAGAGCATCGTTGGAGATGACTGAATGAAAACCTGACTTTTAAAATGACTAGCGGTAACCTACCGATGTAAGCGGTAAACTCCTTAAAAACATGGAACAACTGATCTGAAATAATGAGCTTTCTGTCCGATTCGTGAGGAATCGACAACAGACGGCGTTCAGGACAAGTGGGTAGTTCAGTGGACGAGAAAGGAAAGAAAGCGAAGAGAGTGCTGACGTTACCAATAATCGTCTCTTATGGGGATCAGTTAACAAACGTCATTATTGCTGACAAAAATTTTTCAAATGGCTTCAATATTTGAACGCGTGGTTGTTTTTCATTTTTTCCCCTTATGGTTAGTTGTATTTGTACACGACTAGGTACATGAAATTGCCATGAAAAGAAACTTAGCGCTTTAATAAGAATGAACTTCAGGCATTGTGATAGCGCTGGTGCTAAGTAATATAATCGGTCTATCCTCGTGATTTCTTTTGCTTTCTCATGTGACAGTCAATGTCCAGAATTAATGGCGCAGCGCCTCTGAAATTTCATTCTTAGAAAATAAACGAGACAAAAAATTGGCCGTCTTTCAACAAAGTATTGTTAACCACTAATTCGTTTCATAACTTCCAGATCGAAGTCGGCTAATCAATATGCGTGGATCCTATATGTAGCATCACTACAAACGAGCTATGACAATAGGTTTGAAACTAGTTCATCGTTTCATCTTCCGGCGTATAATGTTTTCTGGAAATAATTCGTAGCTCTGTCGTCTACGTGTGAAATATGTAAAAACTCTATCACATACCTCAACGCATGGTCCTCCTTTGTTCCGCTTCTTGCTAACTCTATGAGTGGTGGAGCTGTAGGCAATGGTCGTGCTGTTTCGTTTCGGTCCGAAAACTTTGAAAACATAAATTAATGGTCAGTAAGGTCGTACTAGTTAGGAAACGTAAACAACACATCAATCTAATGCGTCGTACAGGTTGTCACCGTGAGAAACACAGCCTATTAATTTTTAATTTATTGTGCCTTACTAATAATTTAATCAGTGTTTTTTTCCTGTAATTGGAGAACCGATGAGAGTCACCCCTTGGATGCATACTTCTTTTTTTGCTTCTAATAATACCCCACTGCTGGTTAGTCGATTACGTAGCGATCACAATCATTGCGAATCTCCAGCATGCTGGTAACGATATTGTATGGTGGACCTAACTGGTGAATACGAGGTTGTACGCAGAGAAAAGGCATTCTCCTGCATCCATGAGATGCAGGAAAACTCATTGGTGAAGTCTCTGTTCTTTCTTCGCCGATTTCCGCATACCTTCTTTATTTACGAAAGCATATTCATGCATGCGTATGTCAGTATGTTAGAATATATGCAGATTTTATTAAGAAACAAAGTTAAACAAACAGGATTCATTCCTTCGGACCGTTACAGCCGGATACGACAGTGCTTCGGATTAGATGTTAACGGTTGAAGAGATCTGAATCAATACCGACTTTAACAACCTGTAG